CGCCAGTGACGTCTTCAAATTCGACAAATGCATAGCAAAAACCAACATCCTGGAAATCACGAGTTAGTCGGGAATCGAGTAATTCAAGACAGGCATCGTGAAATACACTGAAAAGATAAAAAAGAACATAGACCTTGCGGCTCCTAATAACCACCCCATCAGAACTGAGTTTTCCAAAGTGCTTGAATTCCTCCTCAACTTCTGAAGCAGACACAGTGGATGGCAAGTTTCTTACATAAACAGACTTTATTTCACCTTCATACATAGAGGTTAAAAATGATTATACTTCACATCGAAATAGCTAAAGATCCGAATAACCGACATGGCTAACCTTCATCATCAACAGAAGGGAACTCGCCTCCTGTCTGTTCCCGTTCGGAGTTATTTTGGAGAGCTGTAGTTAATTGCTGGGCGGTGGACGGTGGAGTGTAGTTTTTCTCTGGAGCAGATGGTGTGCTCTTACTAACTGGATACTGAGAAGCAGCAATGGAAGCGGGCGCATCTTGTCCTTTAGCAACTCGAAGCTACAGAAGTTAGAATAAACGAAGTCAGATCCATCAAATGCTGCATATGTTTAAATCTTTGGTGAATTGATTGTTAATGTCAAAGCTTACAATTGAAGCATATGTTTGCTTTTGGGGCTCCTCAGCATGTTCTTCAACAGAAACAGGGGAAGGATCTGGTGAAGCAGTTGGTGCATTCTGATGGATAGAATTTACGTCTGCTGTACTTTCCTCTATAATGTTTTTTGGCTCGGGAACTTGCTGCAGTTGCTGCTCGACAAACTTACGGTTATCAACGTGACCATTTTCTTTGACAACCGGGGTTGCAAACTCTCGCGGGGCCTGGACTGCGCCATTCAGTGAGTAATTGGGCACTACAACAAGAGTTTAACTTCATTCAGCAAAAACTCGGTATCAAATCGACTCCATGGGAGAATCCAAGCCAGAACCAAAAAGGGAAATCAAAAGATAATCCAAAGAACCAAGTTTTATCAAAGAAAATTTAACAGAACACCTCAATAGTATGAACCACAAAATAGTTTTGTGAAATCCCACATCGGTTGGGGAGGAGAACGAAACACCCTTTATAAGGGTGTGGAAACCTCTCCCTAGCAAACATGTTTTAAAAACCTTGAGGGGAAGCCCGAAAGGGAAAGCCCAAAGAGGACAATATCTGCTAGCGGTGAGCTTGGGCCGTTCCAAATGGTATCAGAGCCAGACACTGGGTGATGTACTAGCGAGGAGGCTGTTCCCCGAAGAAAGGTAGACACGAGGTGATGTGCCAGCAAGGACGCTAGGCCCCGAAGGGGAGTGGATTTGGTGGGGGTCCCACATTGATTGGAGAAAGGAACAAGTGCTAGCGAGGACGTTGGGCCCTAAAGGGGGGTGGATTGTGAGATCCCACATCGGCTAGGGAGGAGAACAAAACACCCTTTATAAGGGTGTGGAAACCTCTCACTAGCTGACGCGTTTTAAAAACCTTGAAGGGGAAGCCCAAAAGGAAAAGCCCAAAGAGGACAATATTTGCTAGCAGTGAGCTTAGGCCGTTACAAATGGTATCAAAACCAAACACCGGGTGATGTGCCAGCGAGGAGGCTATTACCCGAAGGGGGTAGACACGAGGTGATGTGTTAGCAAGAACGCTAGGCCCTGAAGGGGATGGATTTGGTGGGGGTCCCACATTGATTAGAGAAAGGAACGAATGCCAGCGATGACGCTGGACCCTGGAGGGGGCTAGATTGTGAGATCCCATATCGGTTGGGGAGGAGAACGAAACACCCTCTATAAGAGTGTGGAAACCTCTCTCTAGCAGACGCATTTTAAAAACCTTGAGAGGAAGCCCGAAAGGGAAAGCCCAAAGAGGACAATATTTGCTAGCGGTGGGTTTAGGCCGTTACAAGTTTCAATGATGATTACTCAAAGGTTGTGTTCTATAATCCAAAACATCCAGAGAAGCAAACAAATTAGCTCCCCCATGTGATTAATAAATCAAACCTATCTCTGGAGCTGTGGTTGGAGCATTCAAGGTGGAATCAAGATTGCTCTGACTTAATAAGACTGCTGGATAATGGTGCACTGGCTCCTCATCAACAAAGTGAAAGATATCATTCAGAACAAAATAGCCTTTCTCTTGGGGTGCAAGAAAAAAAGTTTGCACAAATTTTCTCATTTGATTGAAGTTCTTCATTTGAACAGATCCAGAAACCATCACAAGAACACCACCATTCCATGATTCTAATGAATGTGCTGTCTTGATCTCAACCCCGGTATAACTAAGCGACATCACAAGAGCATGGATTTGCTGCAGATTAAACAGCAAACACAAACTATATGAATCATAAGAAGAAATATGCCATGAAATGAATCTACTAAATGATGTATTGTCTAACACAATTCAACAAAATATCAATGAAAAATAAGTCATAAACCACTACATGGCATACAAAAAAACATAAGCCGGTGTTTACCGAGTGTTTGAAGGAAAAGGTTTAAGGTTGAGTCGAATGAATCTTGTTTTCAGTGAAATGAGTCTAAAGGAAGGGAAGAACACGAGGAGTATAAGAGAAAGAACCTTTACAGTTGAGTCAAATAGCAATGAGACCGAGTTTACAATTCAAGAATAAGTAGGTTCAATCAAGTTTTGGCGAACGAGTGAAGTTCGTAAACTATCATTAATCTTTCTAAGTCTTTACTTTGCAGCACTGAAGGAGAAAGGACCAAGAGACAAATGAACAATAACTGAATTTACGTCTGAAAGAATAACGAACAAGAAAAGAGACCGTAACATAGTTCAATCACAGTCGAATTCATCCTAAAATACCGGAAAAATGAAAGAACACTTACATTCCTTTATTGAGAGAAGGAACACCAATATGAAAAATCAAAACAAGCCCACACACAAACACATTATGCACTCACAAAATGTAACGCTCACATTGTGCACAGAATTCAAAAACTTCAGTTAAGAACAATGAACCAGGAAAAATACCAGCATTGCAGTGGCGGACTCCCTGAAATGGCCATCAACACGAAGCATAGTACTCGCATCAGAATAAAACTGATGAACAAAGTCAGGTTGCTGCTGAAGAACCTGATAGTACTGCCCAACAAAGTACGTTCCCACCTAAACCAGCCAAACCCCACATCAAATTTCTGCAAGCAAACAAACCTCGAATGCCCAAACAGAAGAACAAACAAAACCTGAGCGGCAGTGACCGGAATGTGAAAGGGCGTCCCCATTTGATCGAAACCCTTAAACCCTAAAAATCGAGAAGAAACAAGAACAGGTCCCACGATCAAAATCTTAGATCTACAAAAACAAAACCCATTTCAGATTCATTTTCATCTATCGAAACCATCACAGACAAATTCAAAAACACATGAATAAATACAGAGATTTAGAGAGATATACAGAGAGAGAGAGAGAGCAGCAGCAGAGAGCGAAAGAACGCAAGGGTTTAAGCGATACAGCGGGCGAGAGAGAGAGAGCTCGGGATAAATTCACAGGGAATATTCTTCTTCTCCGCCACTGATTTTTGGGTTTTTGGTGATTTTTGTTTATATTTTCTTATGATTATTTGGGTTTCGAGGTGTGTGCGTTTCTCTGAAAGCTCAGCCGTTCTTAGAGATTGCATCATCAGATCATTGGGTCCATATTTCTTTGGATTCTATTAATTTTCAATCAATTGGGTAATTAAATCAAATGGAAAAGATTTTTGAAAAAAAAATAAAAAATAAAAAATAAAATGACTATTTCTATGTTCTTTTGCTTCCCTTTCTGAAACATATGACGTCAATTGAAATAAACCAACTTTTTTTATTAACATTTTAATTATTCTTTAAAATTCAAGAATTTATTAAACAAACAATTCAAACCTTAAAAACTTCTAAAAAAAAAAAACATGTTTTTCCCCGTTAACAAAAACGAATAGAAGACCAATGGTCAATCTCACAGGGGTGTACATTGAACCTGACAATTCGAATCGACCCAACCCACATGGTAGGAGTTGGACCAACGGTCAATCTCATAGGGGTGTACATTGAACCAGACAACTCGAATCGACCCAACTCAAATAGTAGGAGTTGGACCAACGGTCAATCTCATAGGGGTGTACATTGAACCCGACAACTCGAATCGATCCAACCCAAATTGTAGGAGTTGGGTTGGATTGGATTAACATTTCGAGTTGAATTTGATTAATTTTTCTGAACCCGACGAGATTCGGTGTGACAAAAATTCAGGTTGACCCAAACCGAATAAAAGTCTTATAAAAAGCCGGGGTTTACTCGAGGACATAAATGCATAATAATTTCGCCCACAAAGAGAAGGGCACGTTGTTTTCCTTGTCTGCTGACACGATTGGCACGATCCTTTTGTGTCTCTGCGTCGCTGTTTTTTCAGTTTTGGGAGAAATGGAGCAGCACAATACTGCCTGAGTTTGCATTTCTTACGCTCGTCACTGCCTGCTCACTGCCCTACAGCCAAACCTTTTTCTTTTCTCCCTTAATGAGGTAAGAAATCACTGGAAGATTAGGTTTGTTTAGTGGGGTGCACACGAAGTGTTTGAAGAAAGTCCGCAAAGATGAGTTTTTGAATTTTTAGTACGTGGGCTGGTTTTGTTTTTCAGCTTTTGAGTGTATGATCAGTTTCATTAATATGGTGTTTCTTATTGTTCATTGAGATTGCTGCATGTAAGAACATCAAACTCTACTCAAGATTAGAGCGATTCTTTCGGGCTAAAGTGGACATTATTGCTAGCAATGTACTAGCGAGGACGTTGAGACCCCAAGGAGGATGGATTGTGAGACCACACATCAGCCGGAGAGAAGAACGAAACATTCCTTCTAAGGGTATAAAAACCTCTCCCTAACAAACATTTTAAATCATGAGGTTGACCACGATACATAACAAGTCAAAACAGATAATATCTACTAGCGGTGAGCTTGGGGGTGTGGCTTTTACACTTGCCTCTGAGGAGCAAATCTCCGCAGGGATGGCTAGTATGGAGTTTATCTGTTTAAAAGCTCACTCCTTAGTCCCTGCTACAGGTCTTCCACTTCATTAAGAGACCATCAAATGACATTCTCACTAATGGTTTCAATTGTGAAGTATAGGATTGAGATGTGAGTAAATGAAATACACACAGCAACAGATGAGAAAGAAACTTCAATTGCTTGCAGAGTTCAACCAGCTACAGCAAGGTAGAAATTCGTTCCTATTTCCTTCTTATTCATGCTACAACCATTTTTGAAATCTTGTCTGATGATCATCAGTTTGAATCAGGATTCACATGATATCTCTACCATGATAGCTGGAAACCGAACATATTATTCCCATTGAGATTCGCTCGTAACGTATAGAAGTGGGAGACGGGATGTATACGAAAACGAGAGCGGTTCGTTCAGTAACAGCTAGGTAGAAATTCTTTCCTGTTTCTTGTTTAGTCATTGTATGCTGATATTTACCCCTGAGCTTGTTTTCCTTGAGCTAAGCTAACACGTATTACCCTGCCTTCAAGTTCCTAAGAACTCGAAAAAAACAGAGACCACGATTGAGCTACACGAAATTAAGTGATATAATAACAATGTGAATAGAAAGATACATAAGAACTAAGAAAGACTCATACCAATTCATTACAAGCTTCAAGAGCTGTTTCCATCTCTGATTTTGTTGAATAAGATACAAAGCCATATCCTCGTGACTTTCCGGTCTCGTCATCGTAGATGACCCTTGCTCCGACCACATTTCCATATTCTTGAAATGCTTGTGCCAAACTTTCAGATGTTACTGACCAGGATAAGTTACTGACATAAAGTTCATACTCAGAATCTGGATAAAGAAGTCCCTTAGGCTTAGGTTTGTCTGAGAAATTAACCCTCAATAGTCTGCCCATGTAAGCCTGAATATAAGTGATACTCATATTTAGCATCAGAGTCCAATAGTTCCAATTATATCAGGATAGATATAGCAACATAGAGGAAAGATGAAAGTAAGAGAGAAAAATTCTCACAGTTCCATCCAGATTTTCGATGACTTTATTGCAATCTTCAATGCTGCTCATGGTTACAAATGCGAATCCTCTACTTTTTCCAGTATTCCTGTCATAAAGAACCTTATACCGTATGAATTGATTAGTGACTCCTCAGAAACGAGGGATTTGATATAAAAATATGCTCTTGTCTATTTAGTTTTAAGTAGAGACTGAATGCAGATTGTTGAGAATTCTGTTTTTAAGGACAAATGCAGACGATTGAACGTTGGAACTTTCGTTAAGTTTAATGGGGTTTTCTTAAAGAAAAAGTATTGTGAGCGTCCAAACTAGCTTATGGACGTCGCAACTTATCTCACGAAAAGATAGCCTAGCCTTGATCACGAAAAGATAGCCTAGCCTTGATGCATTTGTTCATTCAGAAATTCAGAAAACCTATGTAGATCCCAGATTGGTTGGAGAGGAGAACAAAGCATTCTTTATAAAGGTGTGGAAATCTCTCCCTAAGAGATGTGTTTTAGAAACCTTGAAGGGAAGCCCAGAAGAGATAGCCTAAAGAGTACAATATCTGTTAGCGGTGGGCTTGGGCTGTTATAGTTGGTAACAGAGCAAGACATTGAGTGATGTGTCTGCAAGGAGGCGGAGCCTCGAAGGGGGGGTGGACATGAGGTAGTGTGCCAGCAAGGACATTGGGTGCCAAAGGAGGTAGATTGGAGGGTCCCACATCGATTGGAGAAGGGAACGAGTGCCAGTAAAGACGTTGGGCCCCGAAGGGAGGTGGATTGTGAGGTCCCACATCGATTGGGGAGGAGAGCGAAGCATTCTTTATAAGGGTGTGGAAACCTCTCCCTAGCATATGCGTTTTAAAAACTTTGAGGGGAAGTCCAGAAGAGAAAGCCGAAAGAGGACAATATCTGCTAGCAGTGGGCTTGGATTGTTTGGTTCAAATCCGTTCCTTCTCCATTCACTTTTTCTTCCGTTCCTTATGACCACTAGATCAATCCATGGTGGTAAATGATGGTTAACGTTTTGAGCTCGAATTTGAGTAGTAAGGAAGGTAAATGAAGGTTAGCAGCTATTTAAGCATACAACCCCACAAAGTTGTACAAACAAAGGACCAATTCTTCAAATAAATAATATATTGGATATCATCTTGGCACTGTAGCACCATAGTAACAGAATCATACCCTGCTACAATGCTTTCATTTCATGAAACCCACCATTGTAGGTCTCATACTGCTTCAACAATTTGGTTAAAAAAAGAATACCACATTGGATCAACATATAGTTGCCACTTAAATATCAAACCTAGCCAGTGGGTTCTCTGTGGATATTTGAACTAATTACAAGCATCTCAATGTATGAAACGGTTGCCTAAACCTGCAACATTTCAATAAGTTGGTAGGATCTTCCATAAGTTGGTAGGATCTAGGATAGATGTGTTGAGGATTGTTGGGAGAGGAGTCCCGTGTTAAACGATTGCCTAAACCTGCAACATTTCAATAAGTTGGCAGGATTTAGGATAGATGTGTTGAGGATTGTTGTGAGAGGAGTCCCACGTTGGCCAATTAAGGGGTTGATCATGGGTTTATAAGTAAGGGATACATCTCCATTGGTATGAGGCCCTTTGGGAAAATCAAAAGCAAAGCCATGAGAGATAATGCTTAAAGTGGACAATATCATACCATTGTAGAGGTTTATGATTCCTAACACGGTATCAGAGTCACGCCTTTAACTTGATCATGTCAATAGAATCCTCAAATGTCGAACAAAGAAGTTGTGAGTCTCGAAAATGTAGTCAAAAGTGACTCAAGTGTCGAACAAATGATGTACTTTGTTCGAGGGCTCCAGAGAAGGAGTCGAACCACGATTAAGAGAAGGTTGTTTGAGGGCTCCATAGGCCTAAAGGGAGGCTCTATGGTGTACTTTATTCGAGGGGAGAATTGTTGGGAGAGGAGTCCCACATCAGCTAATTAAGGGGTTGATCACGGGTTTATAAGGGATACATCTTCATTGATACGAGGCCTTTTGGAGAAACCAAAAGCAAAGCCACGAGAGCTAATGCACAAAGTGGATAATATCACCATTGTGGAGGTTCGTGATTCCTAACAAGATGAACATCTAAGTTTTGAGGTATTTTCTTCGGAAACATCAAGATTCGATACCCTAACGATGAACTAGATCTCTTGTGAGCTTGACTTTGAAGCAAAGTTTTCATATAATACCATTGAATATAAATGAAATCATGAATGAGAATTCAATATAGAAACTAATCAGTGACATTTGCAGGCAATCTACCTCAATGAGCTCGGCGACCCCATAATCCTGAACAATATCAGCAAGCTGTGAACTATCAACACTGTAAGGCAAATTCCCAAAATACAGCTTAGTTTTCCCGGATTCCACTGGAGAACCACCGTCCACCGCTTGCCCTTCTCCCTCCTCCGCCGTCTCATCCGCCACACCCTCTTCAACCCCAAATGTCACAGCCGCCTTTCTCTGCACAACGGCGGCGGAAATTCCCAGAGCCGGCCGCCACCTCTCCGAGAAAGCTCTAAGCGGGGCCGATTCAATGGCAAGAGAGCGGGACAAGATGGGAAACATTAGGGCTGATGGGGTTGTAAGGAGAGCATCAGAGAGCCATCGCTTGGTGGTGAAAAGGGAGGCTCCGGCGGCGGTGGCCATGGTGGGAGAATTTGATAGGGAGGAGATGGGTAGCATCGGTGGAGAGTGGAAGGCGATTGGCGCCCTTTCTCACAGGAAAGTGTCTACGAGATTATATTAAATCCCCATTTGGATAAGTATATCCACTTTTATTGCCATTATTTTATTATCAAATATTAACTTCTTGATTTTTAAAACGAATTAGGAGCCAAATAGCATCCTTAACTGGCCAATCATTAGTGGTTCGACTTTGTCCTAGAAACTACAGATTTAGCTCGGTCGATTTTATTCTCCTAGATGTTTATGGAGCTGAGATCTAGAAACTACAGTTTTAACTCGGTCGATTTTATTCTCTTAGATGTTTATGGAGCTGAGATAGGAAAGCCTTTCTCGTCTAATCACGGTCACCTATTTCATTTTTTTATTTCCCTAAAATTCTCCATTTATTTTTACAAAAATTGGGTCCAAAATTTTTCGTTAATTTGCGAGAATTCGTGTTATTTAAAAATTATTTCCATTTATTATTCTTTTAAAAGAAATAGTTATTTTAAAATTTTTATTTTTCAATATAATCAATATATAAGTAAATAAATATGAGATGTTTCGTATAATTTTTAAAAATTTAAATTCTATGGTCTTTAAAAATTAAAAAAAATTCATAATATTTATTTTAAATATTACTAAAAAAATAATTATTTTTTTAAATATATATTAAAAATATATTTATATTAAACTGGTCTAATAGGCACGTGATCCAGCTAAAACTGTATAAATTACCCACTCGATTCTGTTTCCCTTTGGTTTCTAAAACTAATGGAGAATGTTCTTTGTAGCTCGGCCCTCATTTGCACTCAGACCCACATGGATTTTCTCTCTATATCGCAGGACATCAATCTTGCTTTCAACTTCCACCTACTGCTTGCAAGCCCGTCATGCTCCACCCACGTTTTCGAATCTAAAGCCTCTCAATTCCGAGATCTCAAACTGTATGAGAAATGGGTTAGTGAAAGAAGCCCAGAAACTGTTCGACGAAATGCCTCAACGAAATGTTGTGACTTGGAACTCGATGATTCGCGGCTACTTCTTGAACGGGCGGCGTAGTGATGGGATTAGCTTGTTTCGACGAATGCCAGAGCGAGATATTTTTTCTTATAATACGGTGATTGCTGGGTTGATGCAATGTGGGGATGTTGATGATGCGAAGGAGATTTTTGATGTAATGCCGTTTAGAGATGTTGTGAGTTGGAATTCGATGATTGCGGGGTATGTTCGAAATGGGTTACTTGAGAAAGCGATACAGTTGTTCGATGAAATGCCTTCGAAAGATGTAATTTCTTGGAACTTGATAATTGGGGGGCTTGTAAACTGCGGCAAACTTGATACGGCTGAAGAGTATTTTGGCAAAATGAACAGGCGTGATCTTGTGTCGTGGACCATCATGATCTCGGGGCTTGCCCGTGCAGGACGCCTTGATAAGGCAAGGAAGCTTTTTGAGAACATGCCCATGAAAGATGATCGAGCTTGGAATGCCATGATGGCTGGGTATATAGAGAATGGGCAGATTGAAATGGCAGAGGAGCTGTTTGAGAAAATGCCTGAACGAAACTTTGATTCTTGGAACGGTTTAGTGAATGGATTGGTTGGAAGCCAAAGGGTTGACGATGCTAGGAGACTTTTTATGGAAATGCCAGAGAAATGCCAAAAGACATGGAACAATATTGTGCTAGCATACATGAGGAATGGACTGGTAAAAGAGACTCATGGAGTTCTTGAGAAAACTCCATATGGTAATATAGTTTCATGGACTAATTTGATCGTGGGGTATTTTGGGATTGGTGAAGTTGGAATAGCAGTGAAGATCTTTGAATCAATCCAGGATAAGGATGCAACCATATGGAATGCTACAATATTCGGATTAGGAGAGAATGACCGAGGCGAGGAAAGTTTGAAGCTTTTTACTCGAATGATAAGGTTAGGTCCACGTCTCGATAAAGCTACATTTACGAGTGTTCTAACGATCTGTTCCAACCTGGAAGCTTTGCAGCTTGGAAGACAAGCACATGGACTTGTTATAAAAGCAGGATTCAGTGACATTGTTTCGGTCTCAAATGCTATGGTTACTATGTATGCAAGATGTGGGAACATGGATTGCGCTTTGATGGAGTTTCGTTCGATGTCGAACAGGGATGTCATTTCTTGGAATTCTATTATCTGTGGGTTTGCTCACCATGGAAATGGAAAAGAAGCACTGGAAATGATTGAAAAAATGAGATTAGCTAACATAGAACCTAATCATATAACCTTTATTGGTGTTCTGTCTGCTTGTAGCCATAAGGGTCTAGTGGAACAAGGAAGGTACTACTTCAATTTGATGAAAAACGAATGTTCCATTCAGCCATTGAGCGAGCATTATACATGCTTAGTTGATTTGTTCGGGCGATTCGGGCTTATTGACGAGGCACTGAGTTTTCTAGTCGAAATGAAAATGGAGGAAATCGAAGTTCCTCCGAGCGTTTGGGGGGCTTTGCTTGGAGCTTGCAGAATCCATAAGAATTATGATATAGGGGTGATTGCAGGTGAAAAGGTTCTGGAGAAGGAGCCTCATAACTCTGGAGTGTATTTGATTTTAGCAGAAATGTATTTGGGAAGTGGGAAAAGAGAAGATGCTGAAAGGATATTGGCAAGAATGAAGAACAACGGAGTTAAGAAACAACCAGGTTGTAGTTGGGTTGAGATAAACAATAGCGGACACGTCTTTCTTTCGGGAGATCGTTCAAACCCGCATTTTGATAGAATCTGTTGTGTTTTAAAGCTGTTGAATCTGGAGATGGAGTTGCAAACAACATAGTGATGAATAAAAATGCAGGTCTAGATCAGTTTCATAGCTATATCAGTGGAAAATTTCGCGAGTTGTTACTAGAACTTCATTCATTTCAAGTTTTCAAGTTCAAAACATCTGTAAGCTATGCTACGAACGAGGAACCTCTTGCCTTGTTGAGCATTTAGACAGTGCAAGCCTTGACTCGAGTCTTATATTTCTCCCCTATTGGAAGAAGCTAATTACATGCTTGATGATAGCATCACCACAAGGACTCTGGTTTCTACGGAGTCTTCTTAGACGTGAAATTGCGGTCTGTGTAGGCCACACCGTTCTTCCCAGCCGATCGACATTTACTATTGACGACAGTTTCCTTGGATTTCCTCGAGCAAATGGGATTTTCGTTGCCACTGTGCCTAGCGACGGTCTTACACTGTGAGTGTCTGGACTGAACTGAATTGTGATTCTTCAAGACTGATGGTTTTTCTGTTGTTTTTCTGTTTTTCTTACCAATCATCAGATCATTTTCTGGAGAAAAACAGAATAGAAAGCTTCAATTAATAAAATGATATTCACGAGAGACATTTTGATTAACTTAAAGATGCTCAAGAACCCATAAACATAGAGATGAATCATAGTGAGACTAGTTCATAGAAGGTAGGAAATACCAGGGCTGGATAGGACGGCACGAGGCATTGGGATTGAACTGGCTCTAGTATTAACTCTGTTACACCTCTTATCTGCTTTAGCAAACCAAACATTGCTGATATTTCAGAACAGAATGAAAATCTACTGTTTTTTGTTTGTAGGGATGAAAATATAATGTTAGAATCGTACCTTGAGATTCAGAAGTGGATGGCTTTACTACATTGGGACTGTAAACTTTCGGAACTTTAGCAGTGGATGATGGAGAAACACGATGCTCCTTTCCTGTGAATACCAACATTTTTGCAATAAAACCGTGAGGTCAAAATTCAGAGAGTGAAATTTTCAACATTTATTATGATTGGTGTTATTCTAAAAAACTAATGTATTTGAATGTTATTCTCTCATACCTAATGTATAGTTGCTGCCATGTCGGTTTTGTGTTTAACAAGCTATATGATTTCTACTTTTTAAGGATACTTTTGAAACGTTTAGGAAAGATCAAAAGTACGTTTTGAAATATCTTCAAATTCCAAGCAAACTCAAAATTGGGATGAGTTGTTTTTTTTGACGATGACAATCATAGGTTACTCAAAACTTCATTTTCTGTCAGATTTGGTGGAAACTTACTCCACACTCTAGCTCTGAAGTTTGGTGTCCCTAGAACAGAACAAGATGCCCTTTCTCTATGTAGTTCTGAAAAAGAAAGCTAATAAGCTAACATCAACATTTAAACTTCAAATTTATGATATATCTATCTAAACTGACTGTCAACTTCTGGTTTTTCATTTTTCAGCTTCCACAACACGAAAAGATTAGAAACAAAGACAACAGCACAAAGATGCTTCGTTCAAGCAGAAACAGACCCATAAATTTATAACAATTCCCAGAAACTAGAGAGTACCTGAAGAACTCGAGGAGTCTTCAAGAAATAGTGATTCCAAATCTTTCAAAGACAACAGATAACTTCTCTTCTGCTCATTTACAGCAGGGTGATCATCGAGTTCGTTCTCGTCCCTCACCTTCACCTTCGGATAGACTTGCAAGCCCAACAAAAACAACAAAAATCAACACAAAGAGCAAGAACACAAAGATCAAAAACAAACCCAGATTAGATCAAACCCACTAGCAGGTTGGTCCTTCATCATCTCAGGAACAGAGATGCGGCATATGGGCGTTGGATTTTGAACCATCGAAAAGGAATCAGTAGCAGAAGAAGAAGAAGATACCCAGAAATCACGAGTTCAATGCGTGTCTTCAAAGAGAGGAAAGAATGAGTAGTGCGCCAAGCCAAGTTTTGGGAGAAACGGCTTTTGGGGTTTTCAGAAATTGAAATGAATCAAATCAGAAGTGATCGTTGGGTCAACGAACGCCAAAGGGCGCATTTGTCTGAAACCTTCGCAGTGGCGGACCCCATTGCCTTTACCTTTTGCTCCTCCCGAGTTAAGAACAGAATCAAATTGGGTTCCAACGCAAATTTCAATGTTTCGTCTCTTCCATTCCTTCTCGTCCATTTTTGGATTTAGGGTTTAGATTTTTGTTTCTTGATTGGTGGGGTTCAGTTCTTTTTGATCTTCATGAGGATTTTCCCGCAATTGATACAGTTTTTTTCCCCTATTTGTTTGGAGTGTATCGAGAATCTGGGAAATCTTATTTGATTTGTTTTAAAGGTGGCGAAAAGTGATTAGGACACTTGTTTTTGATATCCTAAACCTTAGTCAATAAATGGGGCTATTTTTTCACCCAAACAAATAAAAGTCAATTAAGGGAATTATTTAATATAATTAAATAATGATGACTTCTTTTTTTAAGACACCATCAATATTGGAAGGGAAATATGGTCTCCTGCCCCTTGTGCATAATAGTAAATATAAATTCATACCGATCCGGTAAAATTTTAATGATCTCGTTAAATATGCTTGTATTTCTAGGCCAACTACCTAATGTCGGTGGAGTAAGCAACATGTAACAAGAATTTATACATGTAGGGTCAAGACGTGTATTAATACTTTTTTTTTCATCCTTCTTTGTAAAACTAGTTCTTTTTATTTATCAAGAGATTCTAAATTTTCATTTATTTACATCTACTTTTTTAATATTTTTGGGTTGAGTTTGATAATATTTTTTAGGTTTATTTTCGTGTTGTAACTTTTAAAAAGTTTAGTTATGAAAATTTTTGTTTTGAATTTTAATAAACCAAACTATAATTCTATTGTTCTTTGTTTTTTAAAATTATTAGTTACGTCACCTATTTTTAAACTAGATTCTTTGAGATATATTCTTTCCTTTATGATTTGATTTAGAGTATATTTAATTTTATTTTTAATATTTAATTAATTTATATTTTTCTTATTGATAGGTATTAATAGCTAGCGTGTATCTTATTTAAAACTTATGAATATCCATGAGAATACACCTTTTCAATTTTATTTCTCTGAATCAAATCAAATCAAATTAGAATTTGATTCCAAATTCTCTGAATAAACAACAAATCTTCTCCCATTTTTTTCCCCAAACAAAACCCATCTCCTCCAATTTTAAAAGTATTTTTCATTCTTTTTCGTTTTTTTTTAAATTTCATTAACCTCCTAATTTTTCTTCATCCAACTAAGCTGTTCACATTTTTATATTTAATGACCTAATTGTGAATATGCATAATTAAATATAATTAAAGTCAGAATATATAAAATTAGATAAAAAAAATTTGCAATTACCAGCTTTCTTTTTTATTCTTCAGTCTGTATGGGTTCTTTTCCCTTGTCCACCTGTCAAAACAATAGTTAACCAGCAAATTTAAGTTTTAGAAAAACAAACGCTTCTATCACGAATAGATTTCACTTTCAACATAAACTCTCCTAACTTTGTTTTGTTTTTTTGTCTTCTTTAAATGTCTCATGCTAATAGAGATGTATCCCTTACTTATAAACACAGACATGATTATCTCCTTAATTAACCAATATGGGATTTCCTCCCAACAATCCTCTCTTCCAACAAAGTACTCTATAAAATTTCCCTTTAAGTTTATGGAGCCCTCAAATAGGGACACTTTCTCTAGAGCCCTCATATAAAATACATCATTTATTCGACACTTAAGTCACTTTTGACTACACATTCGAGACTCACAACTTCTTTATTCGACTGACATGGCTAAGTTACGGGCATGACTCTAATACCATGTTAGGAACTACAAACCTCTATCGTGATATGATATTGTCTACTTTGAGCACAAGCTCTTATGACTTTGTTTTTTTTGTTTCTTTAAAAAAAAAACGTCATACCAATGGAGATGTATTCCTTACTCATGATCAGCACTTCGATTTGATTAAACAGCAATCAAACATGTTGGAAGAAGTATAATGCTAAGAAAAAATAGCAAACTAAACCAACAAATGCGGCCCGAGTGAAGTTTATCATTAATAGGCTGTTGTTGCTAAAAGTCTATCTGCAATAATTGGTATTGTGATTTCAAATATTGCCGATATACTTCACTTCCAATGGTAAGCAGTTAAATTAAAGAATCAGTAAGCAGCTAAACCAAAACCAATTGGAAGTTTATGATTAGAAGTTTTTATTCGACAATCAAATAAGAAAACAAAAATAAAGAATCAGTAAGCAGCTAAACCAAAACCAATTGGAAGAAAAACCAATTGGAAGAAAAAAATGTATCATAGATAATATTAGAAATCATGATTCTCTACAATGGTATGATATTGTCCACTTTAAGCATAAGCTTTCATAACTTTGCTTTGGACTTCCCCAAAAGGCTCATACCAATGGAGATAGTATCCCTCACTTATAAACTCAATCCTCCCCTCGAGCAAAGTACAGAGGCTTATAGAGCTCTCGAACAGCCTCCCCTTAATCGAGGCTCGACTCTTTTCTCTGGAGCCCTCGAACAAAGTACACTATTTATTCAACACTTTAGTCACTTTTGACTACACCTTCGAGGCTCACAATTCTTTGTTCGATATTTGAGGATTTTATTGACATGGTTAAGTTTAGGGCATGACTCTAATACCATGTTAGGAATCACGACTCTCCACAATAGTATGATATTGTCCACTTTGAGCATAAGCTTTCATGGTTTTGCTTTGGACTTCCCCAAAAGGCCTCAATCCAATAGAGATAGTATTCCTCACTTATAAACCCACGATCTTTCACTAAATTAACCAATGTGGACTCACTCTCAATAATCCTCGACAGATAAGACTTAGGATAATTGAAGCAGTTCAGAAGGTGATTTATTAGCATCGTGTTTTCTTTGAGAGCAGAAGCAGAAGAAAGCGTACCTTGAGAGCAGAAGCTATGGCGCCTAGTAACTTTCTCTGGTAAAGGAATGGAGACGCGAGCTTGAAGAGGAAAAGCTCTGCAAAATTAACGCTGAAGCCACTCAAACGAGGCTGAAATGCGGAATCCATTTCGCTACAAGCACACAGTTAGTCAGTTTCAAATGGCTGAGAATCGCGATTCTTCAAAAGAACAAACAACAAACATGATGAACTTCAGTGAAACAACAAACATGTAATAATTACGAAGATGAACAGAAAGAAGAAGAAATCAGCGAAGAAAACCTCAGAATCAACAGCGACGAAATCGAAAACCAAAAGGAGGAAGAAATCGGAAGAAATATGGAAGACGGTTGGCGACTTGAAAAGCAAGAAATGAAGATGAAGCGGGATTTTAGAGATAACCAGAAGTTGGGCTGAAAGGTTTAATGGGGCTTTTCGTCATTTCACATGCTGAATAAGGTTGCTAATAATTTTAGATTTATAATTAAAAATCTAATTTACACACAAAATAGAAATTTACGCACAATCCATTTTTAATAAAGAAAATTAATTATAATTATAATAAATAAATAACTATTACAAATCTATCTTCGATTGATTTTTTAAAAAGTATAAATGTTAAAATTATTAAATAAAAAAGTTTTTTCCGAATTTCCAGAATGGTTATTTTATAAAATTATCCATGTTTTTTAATCCACGTTGCCGACAATTTTAAATTATATTAGTTTGAAAATATAATGCGAATTTACGCATTTAGCCTCATATTCTTGTCCGGGTTAGGGATAGCGGCCTATTCGAGATCAGGATACAATGCTTCCATCAACCAGACGCTTAAACCCTTAATTCACACAATTTGGAGAGACCGATGAAGCTTGCGAGGTTTATAACTCCAAGCTTCGGCTATGGATTCTTCGATCGTTCCTCATTCTGGGCCCCTGGATTTGCCTGAGTGATGTGGCGTAGAGCCGGAATTTTGCGAGGGCTGGGCGTTCGGCGGTTTTCAGCGGAAACTCGCCGTCGTATCGAGGACGAGGGAGACTGGTTTTACGCCTCAGAATGGTGGGGGAACGATTACGACGGCGACGGCGACGGCCGCACTGTTTTCAGTTCAACATCTGAGAAAGGAAATGGCGTCGTCTCTGTTCTTTCATACCCTTCCTCCAGGCCTGTTAGTCTCTCTCTCTCTCTATCTAAGGACGGCTTGATTTGTAGTAATCTTGTTCGAATGTGATTGTTCTTCCATTTTTTTTTTCTAGTTTTTGCGGCGTTTTCTTTCAAAATCTTTGAATAGCTTAAGTTTCAGCTCGATCGTTACTCGTAAGGACTTTTTTATTTCTGGTTTCCTGAGGAAGATATTGGTTTTCAAAATAATGCAGAATGGGCTTCATTGGCCAGGGACTGGAAGGTGGCTTCAGCAAAGATATGCCGAGGTATGCCCTGGTTGCAAGAACGAGGAACGGTTCGGGATTCTTGGATATCAATGGCGAGTGCTTCGTTTCAATGACAATACTCGCCAAAGCACAGCTAAAGTAATGGCTGCTTACCGGGAATCAAAACCAGAGTCAATTTTCCTCATGCAGCAGGCGCATTGTTTGGCTGTTCCTTGTAATTTCTTCATCTATTTTCCCCCATTTTCTAAACTTGATCCAATAATGCTAACCATTGCTTCCACCAATCAAATTAAGCTTCTCTTACAAGGAATTTGAACAATAACATGACTAATGTAATCATCTGTTCAAAATTTCAGATCTGAAGAGTATGATATCAGTTGGGTTGACCACTATTGCATCTTGTGGGTATGATCTTTTGAATGCAATCCAAGGAAAACAAAATCTACGTATTTTATGTATTGGTCATGGTGGTGGGAGCTTGCCTCTATTTTTAGCAAGTAAAATTCAAGGTAAGAGTTCTCTTTCTTCTGCATCTATGAACTTGATGCATTACTAGTCAATGACCTTCACCACAATTAATTAGCTGAATAAAATTTAGAAATGCTACAAGTAATAATGTCACACTGTCATTTACGAGTAGCAAGACTATAGAGGATGGCGAAGAATGATGGTAAGGACTGATTATCAGTAAATTATTTAACCTCTGTTCTAAAATCAAGTATATGTTTGCGCCTAAAAAAGAAACCCAAGCATATATTTAGTGGATTCTGCATATGTAACAACTCTGTTGGAAAGATCAATCGGTTGGAGAGGGGAATGAAGCATTCCTTATAAGAGTGTGGAAACCTCTCCCTAGTAAACGTATTTTAAAACTGTGAGGCTGACGGCGATACATAACGGGCCAAAGCGGATAATATCTGCTAGAGGTGGGTTTTGAGTTGTTACAAATGGTATCAGAGCCAGACACCGGGTGGTGTGCCAGCGAGGACGCTGACCCCCAAGGGGTGAATTGTGAGATCTCACCTCAGTTGGAAAGGGGAACGAAACATTCCTATAAGAGTGTAGAAATTTCTCCCCAGCAGACGCGTTTTAAAACCGTGAGGTTGTCGGCGATACATAACGGGCCAAAGCGGATAATATTTGCTAGCAGCTAGCGGCTAGCGGTGACTTGGACTGTTAATAGCACATGTTAATAGCACAGAAAATAGAGTAATTTCAAATTCTTGTCTGGTTTTGGTTGTATATTTGGGATGAGTTTCTAGGCTTTCCTACCTACTTTTTGTCAAGATTGTCATTTCTTTTTCGTTATTATAACATGTTGCACCAAGCATGAACTGCTTTCGGTTGTTCACTTCATAGAACTGGGATCTTTAAAATTAAAGGGTTAATCACGAAGCTTGCTCCAAATACTTGTGTTTTTTTTCAGGTGCCAATGTTGACATAGTTGAAATCGACCCTCTTGTTATCTCGGCCTCAATCCAAGCCATGGGCTTCCCAGCGTTCTCAGTTATGACTGCATCAGGAGAGCGTGCATTTGCCCGACCCGAATCCATTGACGATGTCATGTGGAAAGGCATCCATGAAAGACTTTTCCTCTACGAATTAGATGCAGAGGATTTCGTCTGCAACACGACCAATCCATACGACATGATCTTCATTGATGCTTACGACGGAGATGACATATTCCCAAACAAACTCTGGGATCCAAATTCCACATTTCTTGAAGCTCTCAGCAAGCGACTTCATCCTAAACATGGAACTGTGGTGGTGAATCTTCACTCAGATTCCGATCTCTTGACTTCTGATGGCTCTGTCCCATCTGTTCTTGAACATATATTGCCAATGGGAAAGTATGTATCCCGAATCGGTCGAGCGTATAAGGATGTTCTGACACGAGATGAACGTTCTGGTTTAGGATTCACAGTAGCGGTTCCCTGGGTTTGCAATACATCTCTGGTTGTGTGCAAAGGTTTCGAAATGAACGGTGAGTATCTCGACCGGGATCTATTAATGAACACATTGATATCTAAATCCCTTGAAGTAGATCGTCTTCTGAAGCTGCCATTTTCTTGTTTGGAGTATATAAAGAGAGGTTTTGTACTTGTTGATTAATAGTTCAAACACTTCACTTTACTAGGCATGGAAAATTTGAAATGCTTTAGCATCACTTCATCTCTTTTGCTCACCACTCTAGTTTTGGATGGTTAGAACTTTGGTATCTAGAACTTTTACTTGTTGCGGAGCTAGATGATATAAATTCAATCATTGAGATAGACTTGCTCGATAGAGCTTGATCGTATGTAACTAGGAAATGAAAACTCTATTATGAAGTCACATGAGGTTTTCAAGTTACAAACGTGCTGTCAAATGCTTGAAATTGTGTGAAAGTTGTAGTTGTATGAAATGAGATCGAACTCTTGAAAACTCGATGCCCTCTGTCTCTCAGAAACTATATGTAGTAGATTAAGTATTTGTTTTATTTGTTTTTTTTAAACGTGTATAGATCAAGAATGACTAAAATTGTAACGGCTCAAGCATACCACTAGCTGATATTCTCTTTTTTTATACTATTCCCTTTCAAGCTTCCCGTGAGCTTTTTAAATCGTGTATTTAGAGTTTTTAAAACGCGCCTGTTAGGGAGAGGCTTCCCCTCTCGATTTTTGATTCGTGTCTGTAGGGTTCGGTCTATAGGGTTTTTAAAACACGTCTATTAGTGAGAGATTTCCACACCATTACCGTTCTCCTACCCTCCAACCGACCACAAAAATGTTTGATTTAAATTTTAGAAAATAATAAAAAGTATTTTCTTTTTTTCCCCCTTTTAAGGCGTCTTTAAAAAATGCAATTAAGAGTGCTTTTTAAGATTCAAGGCCAAAAGTTTGTTAGCATCGTTGGCGCTCGATCCCCCGAAAGCCAACTTCCTCTCTACGTCTCTCATGGCGGTCAATGCCGAGAAGCGATTGTCGCTCAGCAACAATGACGACGACGACGCTCCCGGTGTCTTTTCCAGGTAATCGCGTTCCGTGTCCGAGTCCGCGATCTACCGCAAATCCAAACACGCCGCTTCAAATACGGCCTTCGTCACCAATCAACTGCTGCGGAGCACCGGTAAGGACGCCTGGATCACCGGCACTACATTCCGCATCCTCGTTGTGCCGCTCATCATCGAGATGGATCGCGGACAGCAGCTCAATGAACTCGAGTTGCAGCAGGCTACCTTGCTCGGTGCCCCCGCCGTGTCGGTTCAAAAGTGATTTGCGAAGTTCCGTCGCCGATGCCGAGATGGTTTCTTCGGTTCTCTATTCTCGAGGTTCGTTTCTCTTATGATGAATTATGATAATGATTCTAGGATTGCAGTTCTTTGAAAGTATTTTTCCTATTCGCTTTTCCGTATGTTCTTGGTATGTAAAATTTGGTTGCTGAGAAAATCCGAGAAAATGTTTGAAGTAATTAGAACAGAAGAGATATAGCACGCATTGTGATTGTGTTCAAATTTGCAGAATATTGATCTGAGACAAATATAATGAATAGGAAGGTTAAATTAAATCCCCTTTGCATTTCATAGTTAGGGATTTGTTTGGATTCAACTTTACCAGATGTCTCCACAGGTGCAGCTACCATTTAGAAATCTATGGTATCTATTTACATCTCTAACTACAATCTCCCTCCCCAGCACCCTACTTGCATACTTGAAAACTTGATGACAATCTCTGCATATTCTTAGATTCTTTACAATCCGTAGAGCTTTTCCAGGTGGTGCCGCCCCGACCAGCACCCCATAAGCCAGCGCCAATTTCTCACTGTGATACCAAAGTGCTTCCTTCTTTTCCTTTTCCCCTACTTCATGAAGCATCTCAGCCCAAATTGGGACATACCCAAGCTTCTCTATCTCCCAAATCAAGTTTCTTAGCTTTGCATAGATTTCCTCAGTCCTTTCATGGTTTCTGTCCCCTGCTAAAAACACATGAACTTCCCCTCTCACTTCAATCCAACTCCTCCCACTTTTCTTCTTCACCTGCCTCTCTTTCATCATCTTCCGCACTACTGCCACTTCCTCCCATCTTGCTGTAGAAGATAGAGCATTAGCAACAATCACATAAGCCGAGTCGTCGTGCGGGTTAAGCTCGAGTAACCGTTTTGCCATGGCCCATGCCATATCGCCTGCTCCATGGCTTGCGGAGCTCGATAGCAATGCACGCCAAACTGCAGCATCTGGCACAAAAGGCATTGTCATGGCTATCCTCTCAGCTTCTTCTAACTTCCCAGCTCTCCCCATTGCATCTATCAGGCAAGTATAATGCTCTAGGGTAGGTTGTACTCCATACTCCACTCCCATCCTTCTCAGCCACAGTTCAATCTCACCAACTAGACGTGAATTGCAATATGATGTTAGAATGGCTAAGAAGGTGTACTCATCAGGACACAGCCCAAAGGATACCATTGAATTGAATAGCTCAAGCGTAGAATTCTTATCTCCCTGCTGTGCATAACTTGCCAACATCGCATTCCACCCCACAACATTCATACATCCCAAACTTTCCTCAAACACCTGCCGTGCATCAATTATCAGCCCCGATTTCCCATACCCATCAATCAGAGAAGTTTGAACAATCACATCAGTATCCAATCCGACAACCACAGCGTGGCCATGTAAAACCCTGCATTGCTCCAGCGCAGCAAGATCAGCCGCAGCACGAAGAGCACCAGAGACACTGTACATCGTCGACGCAACATCAGAAGCTTTCATCTCTCTAAACACTGATAATGCATCGATGGATTGCGCATTCTGTGCCAGACCAACGACGAGGGCAGAATAGCAAACCTCGTCTGTGTCAGAAATTTCATCGAACACCTTGCGAGCGTCATCGAACAAATGGGATTTGGAGTAGAAATTCACAAGCGCAGAGCCACAGAAGGGTTCACTGCAGAGTGAGAGTTTGTGGGCAAGGGAGTGAAGGGAAAGCCCAAAAGAGACGCAAGGGAGCGAAGCGCAGGTCTTTAAAAGAGAAGCTAATGTCCGTTGGTTAGGGAAAGATGGGTATCGGAGCATAGAAACAAAATGGCGAAGAGCTAGAAACGTGTTGGAATGAGCAGAGATGAGTGCAGTCCAAGACACAACATTGGGCAATGGGATTTGGTCGAAAAGACGAACGGAATAGTGCAGCAAGTTTGCTTTGCCGTAGAGAGTTATCAGATTGTTGTAAACAGAACGATCGGTGGCCGGAGATTTGATGGCTTGGGCATGGATGATGCGAGGATCTGACTTCCCCGCCGCCGCCGTTGCCGCTGCCAGGGGTGGCGCTCGTGGTGGTATTGGGTCTGAATCGAATAAGTCATTCATGTTCGCTATTTAGCTTTGGGTCGGCATGTGGCTATGTATGAACAGGGGTAGAAGCGTTGGATCGGAAGGGGTAAATAGAATGGATAGAGGAGGAAGACGACGGTTTCTATCGGCGGCTGAAGGGTTTCCGGCCGGCGGACGGCGGTGAACTTGGGTTGAAGAAATAGTGTTCGGTTTGTTGACGGAGGAGAGAGACGATCAGAGAAAATATGGCGGCGGCGAGGCTCGTTCTCTCTGAATCTCAGAAACATTTTCTTTTAATATTTATAAGAGACCATTTCGATTATGATTTATGTTTTGGATTTAAGTAAATTCAATAAAAGATTGATGTTTTTATATTGGGATTATATTGCAATTTTAAATTTGATGTTTTAAAATGTAAAATTATTTATATATTATAATTTATATGATATGGTAAAATAATAATTATACAAATTTTAGTTTATAAATGAATTAATAATTATTCATATAATCCAAATATTTAATTCTACTACATAAATAATATTATTTTAAATAATTATTAAATTTGGAATTAAATTTCTAATTATCTATAACTCAATTTTTTCTAAATTTCTTATTTTCAAAATTATGTTTTTAGATCACGAAAAGAAAGACTTCCATTTGATTTCTTCCATTTTCACAATTATTTTATTTATTCATTTTTCTCCTACAAATTAGGGTGATTTATTTATTAAAGAAATGCTATAGATTAATAATTAGTAACCTTTCCTTTTTAAATTAAAAAATACTTTATAAATTCCTATATTACCTTGTTATTATTATAGCAACATCGGGTGACATTGAAGATGGAAGGTTTGATCGTGCACATCTATATTTGTTGAGTAAAAATAGTAGGCGACACAAGTACTTACCAACTCAAGCCCACCACTAGAAGATATTGTTCGTTGGGCCCCCATCAATCTCGCTGTCTTAAAACACATTTATTAGAAATAGGTTTCCACACCGTTATAAAGAATGTTTTGTTCCCCTCTCCAACCGATGCGGGATCTCATAATCCACTTCCTTGGGATCCAACGTCCTCACTAGCACACCGCTCGGTATCTAGCTATGATACTATTTGTAACAGCTCAAGCCCACCGATCACAATCCACTCCCCTTGAGGTCCAGCGTCTTCGCTAGCACTAGCTCTGAAGTTTTTACACCCACTTTTCAATATAGCACGAAACTTTCTATAATCCTTCGTGTTACACATACTTATACTTCCCAACTCCATTAGAAGCCTAGAATTGTAAGTGAAATATACACTTACATTAAAAGAAGATTATCCTCGTAGCAAAGCTCATAAAGTCGTACAAGACAGTCAAAACTTCTTCGAACATACCCTTGAATTCATTCATTCATTCGAGACGTGAACAAAACGAATTCAATTACTTCATCTCGTAAACTCCAACTCGAAAAGAAAAAAGAAAAAAGTGTTCAAAACAATATGTTGGGATGAGAAAGAAATGAAGCAACTTTGTGAAAAGCATAAAAAGTGGTAAGAAAACAGAGAAGAATGGCACAGATAAAAAGAAGCAAAGTTTAAGAGAGAGAAGGGAGTGCCAGCAGCTGCTTCTCCTTCACTTGTATGCAAAAAAAAATACTTCAGTTTGATACATATCATTCATTCAAACAAAACCCCAATTGACCAACAACAAAAAATCACATCCTTTTCACAGAAAAAGAAGAGATTCTGTTCATAAAAAGAAAGAATGAAAGAAAGAATAGTTTTTGCATCTTTGAAGATCTTAGAATCATCATCCAATCTTGCTTCTTCTTTCATTAATCTGCACACACAAAGATTTTGCAAACAATGTTCATAGTTCATAGTTCAGAAACAAAGCAATCTCAGATCTGTTTTTTGTTTCTCTACTTACCATCATCATGTTTTTTCATCAACCCTCTTGCAAAAAGCAAGCAAATCGCCACAAAAACCACTCCTGCTGTTGCTCCGAGGATTATAGCTACTGTTTTCCCTGTATTTACTCCTGTTTCACTTCCAATTTATCAGATAAAACAACCCTTTTGTGTTCTAAGAATTGAAATCTATAAGCCATTCATGGTTTGTTCTTACCAGATGATGATGATGAAGAAGATGAAGATGATGATCCTGAAGGAACCCCATTTGGGTAGTAACTATAACTTATAAAGCATCTATGGAGATAGAGCTGGCCTGAAATTGAGCTCCCACATTCAACTTGAGCTCTTTGGACTGCATTTTTCACACATTCTCCACAATCTGAGTCCCCCAAATCCCCTTCACATTGCCCCAAAACATAAACAGATTGGTAATTTGTAGTGTAAAATCCATGGCCACTCACAACACCATTCTCCAAAACAGAGAGGGCAGTATCCCGCCGCTCCTCAAAGCCACTTCCAGCAACATTGGTAGCTCCACAAGTTTTGTACAGCATTTGAAACCCTGAAATTTGGGCGAACCCAGAAACTTCATAGAGCAAATAGCAGCCATAGAGTTGGACTCTGGCAGCTATAGCTTTGCCACAGAGAGACTCAACGATATGAGGGATTTTGCTCACACAATTGTAGCAGTCGCCATTGGTGAGGTCCCCTCTGCACTGGAAGAGGCCATTAATGGTGGCTTGGCCACTTCCAGAGGTGGTTTTGGAGAATCTAGCCTTGGTGGATTGTGAAACCAAGGAGCCAAAAAGGGCTGAAAGCGCTTGGGTGTAAACCCCAGATGGATCTGAGAGGGCTTGCTTAGCACAACCCTTGTAGACCAAAGAAGTGTAATCAGAGGCAGATTGTGCAGGTGGGATAAGAGCAAAAAAGGACAAGAAGGCCATGGAAACAAGAAGAAGAAGAAGAAGAAGAGAGGAAGGATTGAAAGAAGAAAACCCCATTAACGCATCAAATCATGGAACTCTAAACCCTTGGGGATTTGGGGGAAATGGGTATTGTTCTAAACGAAAAATGGGTTGGATTATACCTCTTTCTGCTCAAAAGCGGCCGAGGGTTTTGGCTTTGTGAAGCTCCTCAGCCATTCGCCGCCCACTTTGGCTTAGCTTTGCCTCTTTAGACGTGCACAGTATCTTTTT